CAGGACAAATTTAAATTCGTACGTTCAAATCAAGTTCAAATCGAATAATAGATGAACGCACATATATTAAGAAATAAGAAAGATCAATTCTACCATAATTATCTAAGTGTGTAATAACATGTCGTATCGACGCGACAACGATCGGAATGAAATATAAGCAAACGAAATTTGTAATAGGTCCGCATTTATCAACGTAGGCACATGATTACGCGATGCCGGGATAAGCATCTTCGGTAAAACATAAACTCGTTGGCGCGGTGGTCGAGTGGTGAGATCTTGTTCCTCTATGGTTACAAGTTACATTAAGCGATATCGCGTCGATGAGATCCCGCGAGTTTCAACCGTCGGGATCCTTTATTACGTAAATAATTATCGTATGCGGAATAGATTATTGCCATGAATCGTCGCGCGAGGCTATAGACGTGAAATAGCAAGGAGGAGAGAAGAAATACGCAATTACTGGCAGATATATTTATCGTTGGCGAATAAGCTAAACACTTGGCCTAAGCGATATTTTCGCCGCATCGCATCGCATCGCATCGCATCGCATCGCATCGCATCGCATCGCATCGCATCGCATCGCGCCGATCGAGCCGCGCACATCGTTCCGATAGCGATGTGCGTGCCGGGCCGTTGCGTTGATAGAACATGGTTTTACCGTGATAATTGGCCAATTTGCGAACGAGGCGCTGGGCACGCGTCTGTCTCCCGGCGTAGTGAATGATCGCCGCCGATCCGTTGAAGTTGATTCATCATCGCACACTGCACAGTTGCGCAACAATGCTGCGAGCCGCGGACGCATCGTAACATCCGATAATGCGCTTCTTTCCGCGAGCCGCGGCTACGGGTGCAACAGGAATTCCTAGATTAGTCGATGCCGTAACGTGCCGATCATTTGGATGATAAGTGCCGAACAGTTTCAAGCTCCTTGAATTTTCAACGAGACACACGTACGAGAGAAAAATACAAAAAGCAATCGATCGACGACGCGATTGAAAGGCAATGAAATTCAAAATTTTTTACCAAACACGTTTCATCACGCGCGTAAATCATATTCATTGTTTTATTGAATTGATTTAACGAGGAAAGAAAAGAATGAAATGGGGTGAAATAAAAAAAGCGCTATTTAATTGAGACTAAAATAACTGACTTCTTTTCTTCCTGTGCGCTATTATTAGGTTTGTATGCCGAATTCAAATTAGCATAGTTAGCGCCACTCACGCTATTGTGTCCTTTTTCCCATTAGAGAGATATGAAGCACGTTTGGGAAGGAAAAAAAAAAGATGACATCACGTATAATTCGAGAGAGTAGTTTGTATTTCAGGTTGAGCGTTGAAATCACCGAGTAACACTGATCAGTCCATTCATTCGAGCGTTATGTGAATTAGTTACCGAAAGAGTAACGGACTCGCAGATACGCGTCAAACTTGATTATAATGATTAACGCTTATTTTAATTTTCATAAATTATTACGTCATGTTGTTAAAAAATTATGGAATTATGATTGAGACGAATAAGACGAAGGATCGCTTGGCGATGATGTCATGGCAAGTACAGCATACTCAGGGCACCAAAATGTTTATGTTCATTACTGCGTTGAGTTATTCTTAACTAGAATCAACGACCGAAGGATTCACGGACACGATAGATATACGGATCCTTCAGCTAGTAAGCTACGCCGCGTGACGGAAGCTCAGAAACGGAAGCCACTTTACTTTCGGTTCTCAATACACCTCATTATTCGCTGTGATGCGCATTAATGCCCGTAGTTACCTTGCTTGCGTAATTATTCGCTTATCCTTATGATGAGCACTCGTTTACTGCCTTCTTAATTTTCATTCCTTCGCTATAATCACACATCTGACTTCGCAGCTAGCTAAAATTTTTCTTATGCCAAAAGGGAATTCTGTAATGTAAAGGAAAATGGATGATTTTATATACTTTATATTAAGTTGAATTTTCTCACTTCTGAAACACTCTGTGTGTGTGCGTATGTGTGCGTGTGTGTGATTTTTTTTCTACTTGTATTTACAACTGCTATTTCTTATGAAAGATAAAACGAATGTTCTCTTCTTTAATCTCTTTCTTAGATGAGTGAGTTCACGCGAGTGTAACTAATTGCAGAAGAAATAAATCGTCGAGAAATATTTAAATGTTCTATACTTAACTTTTATTAATAAATTTTATTTTTCTATTTTAGTTGTTTTCAACGAGTAAAAATAAAAAATTATGTTTATTTTATTAAAGACAAAAATAAAGATAAATTCTCTGGGAAACGCTTACGCTGCTTGCGTCAACTTTAAAATAAAATATTTAATTTTCTGTCAAATGTATTATCTCGTTAAATATTATCAATATTCCTAAACCGATTCATTTTTAGCGGATAAACTATTGCTATAGCAGCGTTGTAGAATAAGGTACTTGCACGAATGACACTTTCTCCGAAATCAGCAGCTTCGCCGAACGGTATTTTCGAGACCCTCGACATTTCGTAAGCCTGGTATATTATGGCTACGTAGGCAGCTCGTGCACGTCCCACGCTATCCTCCACATCTCGCGCCAAATCGAGTGCCGATATTTTCTTTTCGAAGAAAAAGCGAAATGTCGCAGAGATGTCGTCGTTTGACGATCGTAATATAAATGTCTTAAAAAACATATGTATATATATATACTCTTATTACAGAAAATGCACAAATCCTGCAAATAAAATATTAAAAAATAATAATTCTTAAATATTAAAAAAAATAATTCTTTTTTTAGAAATGAAGAGAAAAGGAAAGAAAATAAGTAAATGTTTAAAACACATCTGTACAATAACAACTTCAAGGCAATTTACAATTAGAAACACAAGTTCCAACTTTTAGTGTAATAAAATAATTTTTGTGGCATGCAAAATGGGAAAATAGAAACGTAGAATAATTATAGGAATAGTAAAACTAGATGACAATAGCAGAATATAACTTCTTACGTATTAAAGTAAATTGAAGTAAAGCAGATTAAAGGAAATTTGGATCATGATGGACCATGATGGATCGTTGATAATTAAATTAATAATTCGATCTTGCCTAATGGAACAGGATATCCAACAGTATTCGCAATGCACAGAAAAAGCTAATATTATTTTTAGATTGAAAGACAAAGAGATATGCTCCATGCAATTCCTATAAATGAATAAAAATTCAGGATTGAAAAGTATTCATTTTAACATTCGTGAATCGATATTTTTAAAAATATGAATCCATTTCAATTCATTTCAATTCATTCTCGTTTGCTTGAGTATTTATTCTCACGTCGGTTTTGCGTAAAAGGACGATATGGGCGTATCCTGGCATTGCCGCGGCGCCGAAGCCGCGATTTGCAGATCCATAACAGACGGTGGAACGTCGTCGAGGTCACTCGACGATAGGGCGTTAGAAAGATTCAAGAAAGAGAGAGAGAGAGAGAGAGAGAGAGAGAGAGAGAGAGAGCAAGAAAACGAGAGAGACGATTAGGAATCTCTCCAAAAATTGCTCGCACGCAGCCACGTAGATTCCTAACGTTTTTCAGGATGTGCCGGACGAAGATGGGTTTGGAACAGGAATAGCAAGAATGACGTAAGCGCCCAATGTGCCATGCAGCCAGCGGCCAGCGCAAAACCTACACACGCATATATTGTGCACGCACACAAACCCTGCGCTCGTTCACCCGCATTAGTTCCTCGTTGTCGTGACGGCCAACATCGGTTGCAGTCACCACTGCAAATAATCAAAGAAATCGACCGCGTGCGCAGCTCGTAACTTTTCTTTCGAGTTTCCTTCCCGTTCTGAAGAATTTCTATCCAAAGATATCGTCAACATAATTCATTACATTGCGAGAATACACGCAAAATGAATGTAAAGAATTTACCATTGGAATTAAAGTAAATTAATCATTCTATACATCGTTCAATTTTTCCTCTTATGTTAAAATGAAGAAGCACGATGTCTTAAAGATTAGATAAAGATAATGCGAATCGGATCGAATGGAATTTGTCAGCATTTTCTTATACGATCCGAAGAAACTCGTGAATAGACATCATCAGGTGTTGCTTCCAGATTTGCATCAAAATTATATTGCAGATTGAAGATTAATGAAGAATGTTGGGAACGAGCTCAAGGAAATTCTAGAAGACTTTGGAAGTGATTGAATGACTGGCAAGCGGCAAGTCACGTAAAGAAGAAACGTGCCTGGCATCCAAACTCGAAGCTTGCGTCGCGCGTTGAGTGCGCGGGGAAAATTACAATGACAGTACCTACGTTTAGCAACGGTGAATCCGATTCTCACTTTGCAAGAAAAAATATATTTGGTTAAAAAAAAAATGTTCTTATATTTGCGCCAATGTCAATCATATGAAAAATAGGAAAGGAAACGATTGAGTGAAAAATATGGCAAAAATCATCGATTTTAATTAAAATTTCTCTTAATTGTGTGTGAATTATTAATTAAAGTTAATTGTTATATATCCACAATTAATTACGATTGTAGAATTGTACTTCCCATCACTTAAAAAACGCTACGAATTAATTCCAACACCTAATAATTCAATGTTGAATTTGCAGTGGACCTCGATTTTCAGCGACATTTCAAATACTACCAAAGAACGCGTACTCTCGGTTATTAATAAACATAAAAATGGGAATTCGTTATGAAGAAGTATGCAGCTCCAGAAACACGTTTCAGTTGCATCCCACTCACGGCGTCACACCGGAGGCTCGATTCAAGGTGATGCGCGGCTGGTACGCAGAGTGCGGCCGGATGCACTGGCAATAATGTATCCGCTATCAAATGACTTTGTCCTTCGATACTAGTTCGCTTAGATTCACGAGAAAGTCACGGGGACAGTCGCAGGCGTGATAGTATCGGCAACCTAATAAGAGAAACATGTTCCATTACAAGCAACCTTCCACTCTGCAGTTCCTCAAGATCAACGTACGACCTCTACCGCGTTCGTGGGAGTCGACCAGACGCAAAGGAATTTTTATAGAGGCATGGCACAAGGAGACTATGGCGAGATGTAATCGCGAAAAGATAAATGGTATTAAAAGACAAAAGATTATTATCGAGCTCGGATTGCAGCATATTCGAAAATTCATGATCTAATAAAAAATACTAGAAAGAGATACAATTTTAAATAAATCATTTAAATGTCAGAATTATAATATCAATGATTTTGAATTTTAACAATCTCTACAATCGCACATACACGGATAAATATCAGTCGCAATCTGACTCATACATGTAGAAAGTTTTGCGTGGGTCAATCTGCGTGGGTGGACTGGCCTTCAAAGTCCTTCGCTGAAAAAGACCAGGATCGCCAAACGCGTAGGCTTCCGGTGGGAGGACTAGATAAAAAGCATCTGCCATTATACATAACGGTATCTATCGATTTGCGGAGAAATTAATCTCATACGAACGTCTCTGCATCCTGTAAATTGTAATTATTCAATATATATTACACTTAATTACAGAATATCTCATAGCTGATTTATATAAAAAAAAATATATGCGTAAAACTATTCATTCAAATGGAAAAGTTTAATGTAATCTTACAGCTATTACATGAAATAACCATAAATAGCACATTAACATAAATAAAATATACATTATAATATGTCTTATTCTTATATTCGTTATCAAATAAAGGAAATGGGAAGAATATATTTTATTTTAAATTTAAATAATCCGTTCCTACTTTATTTGTTAGATCTGTTCCTATTTGCTTTTCTTTGCTCTTTTCGCTTCTCTTTCTCTTTAGCATCGTGGATACGTCTCTTCTTTCGCAAGAGCCAAATTTCTTTAGCTCTTCCTTCTCGACCTTTCATCATACTCTGGTACAATTTACGATGTTTCTTCTTAATCATCTTTTCTCTGAGACGATATTCCTGCTTCTCCAATCGAGCTTTCTCCCATGGATTTTCTTTCAAGATCTCACCAGTCTGTACCTTCATCTTCTTCTGCAAGTTTACAAATATTGATAACAAAAATCAATTTTTTTAGATTATTTTAAGAGATAATAAAAAAAAACTAATAACAAACCTTTTGTAGCTGAGCTTGTTTCTTCATTTTCTCTTTCTCTTTTTCTTCATCAATCTGTACATCATTATCGTCATTTTCTTCTTCCTCTTCCATTTCCTCATCACTTCCTGAACTCAAATCGTTCTCAGTTTCAATTTTCTCTTCTTCATTCTCGTTCTTATCTTCTTTGTCTTCTTCTTCTGAATCTGAATCTGCTTCCACTAATCGAGATCAAATATAAAGAAATAAATATAGAGAATTTTATGTAATAATTTCAATACACTCATCCAAAATAAAATCATACAATTGTTTAATTTATAATCGGGATCCATGAGAGCACGCTCTTCTGGAGGTATGTATATTTGATCTTGTCGACCTTCTGTAAATGGTGAAAGATGAGGAGGAAGTACAGCACCCATTAAGTATTTTTCTATAGGCAATAATTCTCTCGCGTTTACACTGTCAAAAATCCACTGTGGCTGTACGTAATATCTGTAAATAAAAATTATGTTAATAATTCAGAAATGTTATATATATGAAAGTAATAAATTAATATAAAACAAATATAACATATAGTACCTCGATATGTATTGTTTAATCATGCTTGGTCTATCTACAATCTGGTGAGTTATCGTTTCGTCATTCTCATCAAAAGTAGCTCCGACAAACAGTAATTTATCCCAAGATACTTCTCCACCAAAGCAACGTAAAATAAATACTAAAGGCTCTCTAGGAACCTCTCTATTAATAAAAATTTTTATGCCTTTAAATAAATTTTTCAGGTTCCTTATTTTTTCAGCTTCTGCCTTAGCAGCTTCTATCTTGGTAGTATCTGTCTCCTAAAAAACGTAATCAATAATGTATTTAGATTTTATATATATAAAATTACCGAATATAAAATTAATTAAACATTTTAAACTTACATTTGAAAATTGATCTATTTCAATATTATCATCCTCAATTGAAACTGAAGAATCCAAATTGACCAATGAAACATTTAATGCACTTATTCTCTCCGAGACATATGTTTCTTCATCGACTAACGTTTTTTCAATATTCTCTATATAATAAAATATTTAATTTTATATTTGAATTAATTGATTGTTTCATACTTCAAATAATATATCAATAATTTATATTAATGATCTTACTCACCAGAATTTGTCAATTTGGGAGGATAATGTAAATTCAAAGTATGATACAATCTGTAATTCACAAAACCAAGCATCACAATGTAAAATTCTACAAATGTAGACATGACCTTAAAATCAACCTCGTTCTTTGCTTGAGGTTCGAAACAAAAGTGATGTGGCACTATCCACGTTATCGTTTGGCCTTTTATCTCTGCCTGATAGTAATATCCTTTAATGGATACAAATACTTTTCGCAGTGCTTTGGCAGCAATAACAGCATGAAGAAATTCAATTGTTAATCTCCTACACAGTAATGATTGATCTCTTGGTATATGAGGCAATGATGGAAATGTACTGAATAAAAAGCAGAGAGTCAGACAATCATCTAAATCACGCAATGCATCTATGAATGTTGGATAACGTTCCTTGACTATATGATCTATCTTTAACGTAGGATGGTTACTCAAATATCTCTTTACTTTGGCAAAATCTTTCATTGCCTTTGCTTGTCCAATTTTTCTATTAAAAATCTAAAAATATATATTTATAAAGTATAATATAAACATTTGATTCCAATAAATTGTTATACCTTATATTCCCTTAATTTCCATATAATCGGTTCGTGCATCAAAAATTGAATATCCTTCTTGTGATATAAGGTTTTAATACCGGGTACACCTTTCTGTGCTCTTTTACGATTGCGTGGCTCCCTTGGGTATATGCCTTTCAATATACATAATTTACGAAAATCATTCAGTGTTAATTGTAATTTTCTAAGAGCAGCTCTCCTCGTCATAAACTGCGCTCCCTCACCACTCTGATACTGTAAATTTAAAACATATCGATTTAATTCTTAAGAATGTCGTTCCATTGAATTTCCGTAAAAATTTTAGCATAACCTCGTCTACTCATAATGAAATATATTATATGAAAGATTTAAAAATCCACTCACCTTTTTTTTACCTATTACAACCATTGTGATGTGTTTTGTATTTAATACCTAAATATTTAAAAAAATACGTGCTAATACATCCAAATATACAAGAAATTAACACACACCACGTGCAAAATGCTTCTAAAAAGTATAAGAAGCAGTGTTGCCAAGGAATTTTGAAAATTGTCCCAAAGGTACTATTAAAAAAATCCCTATCAGTTATAGAGAATTCAATTCAATTCGATTGGACGCAGCATTCTGAGGCACTGCACATTAAAACAGTACACAAATTAATGTAAAGAATATATTTATAAATAAACATAGAAACTGGTTAAATCGTGAAATAATACACTTTATTGTTAAGTAAAACATGTACTTTATAATTCGATATGTTTGCATTTGACTTTTACTAGAGAGAAGCCTGAGAGCGGCCATGCCCGAGATTTAGCTGTTACTTTATTTTGAAGCGCCTCTATATCCACAAAATGTGGACGTTGAACTACGTAACCAATGTCCATGATTCGATCGGTAATGTTCAACAATTTCACAATTTTTTGTATTTTCACTATTTACGAATTTCGGTCCGTTAGATAGACAAAGACGAACAATCAATCTGTTGGCACTTGTAATAAGTTTTATTACAAGACAAATACATTACTACATCCATTTTCTGACAGTATCGATAAAATTGTATCGTCGAAAGTATTCATGTCTGTATTACATCCACAGGCTAGAAGCGTACTGATACTATCCCTTCACTTTTTTCCGTCACTATACAGGGTCCATTATGAAAGTAATGCGCATGATTTTATTGTGACGCGAATATCCATCGCAGCGGGGTAAAATGGGTCGGAAAATGTGGTGGGGGGTCTGCCCTTCCAAGGCAGCCGGTCGCCCATTTGCGC